AGAGGAGGAGGAGGAGGAGGAGGAGGAGGAGGAGGAGGAGGAGGCGGAGGAGGAGGAGGAGCAGGAGGAGGAGGTGGAGGAGGAGGAGGAGGAGGAGGAGGAGGAAGAGGAAGAGGAAGAGGAAGAGGAAGGAGGAGGAGGATATGCAGAAGAAGAAGAAGAAACATAATAAGAATAATAAGAATAATAAGACGAATAAGAATATTAATAAGACGAATAATAAGAATAATAATACGAACAATGCGAATAAACATACTATTAATACTAAGAAGACGAAGAAGACGAATACGACGAATCATAATAATAATAATAGTAATACTACGAAGAATAAGACTAAGACGAAGACGACGAAGAAGAAGAAAACGAATAAGAAGACGAATAAGACGAATAATAATACTCATACTACTAAGAATAAGAAGAACAAGACGACTACTAAGAATACGAATAAGAAGAATAATCATAATACGAAGAAGACGGCTACTACGAATACGACACCGAATAAGAAGAATAATACTAATAAGAATAAGCATAATAAGAATACTAGTACGAATAATAAGAATAATAAGACGAATAATATGAAGAGGAATACTAATACGAAGGCGAAGAAGAATACTACGACGAATAAGAAGAATAATAATAATAATACTGCGAATAATAATAAAACGAATAATAAGAATACTATTACGAAGAAAAATACTAATACGAACAATAATACGAAGACTAAGACTCATAAGAATAATAATAATAAGAATAATAAGAAGAACAATAATAATACTACGAATAATAATAATAACAATAATAAGAAGACTAATACTAATAATAATAATAATAATAATAATAATAATAATAATAATAATAATAATAATAATAATAATAATAATAATAATAATAATAATAATACTAATAATAATAATGATGATAATAAGAAGACTACGAATAAGCAGAACATAATACTACTAAGAAGAAGAATAAGCATACTAATAATAAAAATAAGAAGAATAATAACACTAATAACACTAACAATAATAATAATAAGACGAGGAGGAGGAGGAGGAGGAGGAGGAGGAGGAGGAGGAGGAGGAGGAGGATGAGGGGGGGAGGCGGAGGCGGAGGCGGAGGCGGAGGCGGAGGCGGAGGAGGAGGAGGAAGAGGAGGAGGGAGGAGGAGGGAGGAGGAGGAGGAGGAGGAGGATGAGGAGGATGAGGAGGAGGAGGAGGAGGTCGAGGCGCAGGAGGAGGAGGAGGAGGAGGAGGAGGAGGAGGCGGAGCAGGAGGAGGAGGCGGCGGCGGCGGTTGCCGCGGCCGCGGCGGCGGCGGAGGATGTGGAGGCGGAGGAGGCGGAGGAGGCGGAGGAGGAGGAGGAGGAGGAGGAGGAGGAGGAGGAGGAGGAGGAGGAGGAGGAGGAGGAGGGGGGGGGGAGGCGGGCGCGGAGGAGGAGGAGGAGGAAGAGGACCAGGTGGAGGAGGAGGAGGAAGAGGCGGAGGAGGAGGAGGATGAGGACGAGGAGGACGAGGAGGAGGAGGAGGAGAAGGAGGAGGAGAGGAGGAGGAGGAAGAGGAGGAGGAGGAGGAGGAGGAGGAGGAGGAGGAGGAGGAGGCGGACCAGCGTAAATCCAGGAGTCACCAAAGATGCTGGAGTAAGCCCTTCCCCAAGTTTCCTCTTCATAGGCCCCTGCAACGGTTCATTTCCACATAGGGACCTGCCCCATCGGAAGACAACCATTTGAAGACTCTGAAGCATGCCAAACCATTTGCACTCGGTACTCCAACGCCACGGACAAACCTGAATGCTGCGGCTTGACGGTCCTGAATCGTGCCAGACTGCCATTTCTGGGGCTTCAACACTGCGAATCGTTGTACTTGTTGCGCCCTCATAATCGCGAATCCTTCCAACTCACCATTTCTGGTACGTCGGCCATGGAAATGCGTGAAACTTTTGTTTTTTCACAAGAAGGTGCGCGGTGCTTCAGGGAGAGCCACAGTTTGAAAAGGAACCGCCCTCAATCCGTGACACGCTTGGAAATTTCGAGAACGAATATGCGCGACGTGAAGGCGAGAGCCACATTTTGAAAACGACCCGCTATCAATCCGTGAAACTCTTGTAAATGTTGAAAACGATTGCGCGCGTCTCTAAGGTGATAGCCACAGTTTGAAGGAATTGAGGAGGATGAGCAGAGGAGGAGGAGGAGGATGAGGAGGAGGAGGAGAAGGGATGATGCTGCTGCTGATGATGCTGATGATGATGATGCTGTTGATGATGATGATGCCGATAATGATGATGATGATGGTGGTGGTGGTGGTGGTGGTGTGGTGGTGATGATGAGGATGAGGAGGAGAATGAAGCGGAGTGAGGTCCCAGTGTGATGAGGAGGTGGGAGCAAATTATGGTCTCAAGTGTGACATGGTGGCTCATGCGGTGGTGCAGAGACGAAGTGATGGCAGCATGGTCGCGGGGCAGGACCTCTTCGACTTTTCAAAGATCCGCACTGGCGGCATCGGCATCATCGACCTGGCCTTCCGCACGGCGACTGAGGGCTGGGCTGTTGGAGGCCTTCTCCGCCGCCTCCTCCGCCTTCCTCCTCATCCCCTATTTCCCTTTCTGTCGCTCTCCCGTGCCGCTTTTCGTGTTCATGGTGATTGGCATGCTCTTCTTCGATTCCTCATGGACTCGGAATCCTAGGCTGTGGATGTCAGAAAACATATCCCTTTCGCTATTGATGTCAAACGTCCTTCCATGATTTCTCCCTGTCTCTCTCTCTCTCTCTTTCTTTTTTGCTTTCTCTCTTTCTCTTTTCATATATATACATAAACCTGAATCGGTATATATATATATATATATGTTTATGTGCACATAAATCTAGATATAACTTTATATCCCTTTGTCTTTCCCTCTCCAAATTTCTTTATCCCTCCCTTTCCCTCTGCCTTTTTTGTTCTCTGGCAGGCGCCCGCGGACGGCAGGGTCCAGTTCTAACCCGCACAGCACCGCGCTGCGATGGACCCCGCGGGAACCAGCGAAAGCGGAGTCGCTTTCCCAGTTCGCAGCTCGCAGCCCCCAGGGACGGCGAGGTCCAAATCTGCCCCCGCGCAGCAGCGCGCTGCGATGGGCCCCCCAGAAGGCCACGACAGCGGCGTCAGTTTCGCAGTTCGCAGCCTTCCAGGAGCCCACGAGGAGCTCACGAAGGCGGCGTCAGTTTCGCAGTTCGAATTTTGTTCCGGACCTCCCAGGAGCCCACGAAGGTGTCGACAATTCCGCAGTTCGCAGCCGCTTGGGACGGCGAGGTCTAATTCTGATCCGCATAGCACCGCACTACGCTGAACCCCCCAGGAGCCCACGATCTTTGCGACAATTGCGCAGTTGTCAGCCCCCCATGGGCTGCGAGGTCCAACTCTGATCCGCATAGCCCCGCGTTGCGCTGGACCTCCAAGAGCCCACGAACGTGGCGATGATTGCGCAGTTCGCAGCCCCCAGGAACGGCGAGGTAGAATGCGGAGCACGCGTAGCACCGCACTACGCGCTGGACCCCCCCAGGAGCCTACAAAATTGGCGTTAGTTTCGCAGCTCGCAGCCCCAGGACAGCATGTCTAATTCTGATTTGCGTTGCACTGCACTGCGATGGACCCCCCAGGGGCTAACAGAAATGGCGACAGTTGTACGGTCCGAATCCCCCAGGAACGGCGAGGTTCAATTCTGATCCGCGCATGACGTCACTCCGCTGGGCCTCCGAGGAGCCCCCGAAAGTATCGACGGGTGCGCAATCCGCAGATCCCAGGGGGGGCGAGGTCTAATTTTGATCCGGGTATGGCGTCACCGCGCTGGGCCTTCCATGAGCCGCTTACGATCTTTGCGGCAGTTGCGAGGCTCGCAGCACCCAGGGACGGCGATGTCCAATTTCGGTCCGCGTGCGACATCTCTGCACTGGTCCTCACAGGAAAGAACGAAAATGGCAACAATTTCGCGGTTCGCACCCCTCAGTCAGGGAGGGCGAGCACCAATACGCTAGGTTCATGCGGCGATTGCGCGCCGGCGGCACCAGCGAAGGCGTTCAAGGTTGAATTCTTGCGACGCGGAAGCACCGAGGGACGCGGTGACGCCACTGGACCCGACGGACTTTAAACCTTGAACGATCGGGGCCGCGATCGGTTTGAAGGTTGAACGATCGACGCAGTGTCAAAAACCTCTGCGCGCGCCGAATCCGAACGAACCTGCTGTACTGATCCGCGTATGACGCCACGCCGCTGGGCCCTCTATGAGCCCAGGGGAGTGGCACTCGCTTCGCACACCTCGAGGGAGGACGAGGCGCAGATCTCTGACCCGCGCATGGACGCCACTCCGCCGGGCCTCCTCGGAGACGCCACTCTCGGCCTCCCGGGCGCCAACGAGAGCAGCGACGGTTTTTGCGAGCTTCGGGACCACTAGCGGGGAGGATGGCTCGGGCGACCGCGTCACTCCGCCACCGCGCTGGGGCGGGCGCTGGCCTCCTCCCTCCTCCTCCTCCTCCGCCTCCTCCGCCTCCTCCTCCTCCTCCTCCCTCTCCTCCGCCTCCTCCGCCTCTTCCTCCCTCTCCTCCTCCTCCTCCTCCTCCTGCTCCTCCTCCTCCTCCTCCTCCTCCTCCTCCTCCGGGAGGGGCCACGGAGCCTTTTTTTTCCCGTAGTTTTTTGCAGTGCGCAGCCGTCGGGGGGAGGGCGAGGTGCAAGCCTGCTCCCCGCGTAGCACCGCAGTGCGCTGGACTCCTCGGGGGCGCGCGGCGATGGGGACGGTGTCACCAGTTCTCGACCCGAGTCGACGACACGGCAGCTGCAGGGCGAAGCGAACGAGTTTTACAGCTCACAGCCCCCCCCCCAAAGGGAGAGCCGAGATGGAGATGCCCCCCCCCCCCCCCCCCCCCCCCCTCCCCAGTCCCAGGGAAGAGCGAGTCAGGAGGGAGAAAACACACAGACACGATTCATCGTCGATTCCCCAGAAATTATGGGAACATACGGGACGTGGGGGGGGGGGAAGACAACCACCCCGAAACTACAGGGAAATATGGGGGATCCTCTTATTTGTGTGTGTATTGATTTGTGTGTCCCAGGGCCCCTTTGGCGAGCCAGGAGGCAGGGTGGTTCAGGCGGAGGGAGAGGGCGGGGGGCGGGAAGGGGCAGGCGGAAGGAGGGACCAGTGCTCCACTCAGGTCTGACGTCGGGCACGTCCTTCTACATGGGGGGGATGTGCAAGCATAGCAGCACAATAGCAAGTCGCCGATCTTCTTGCCCTCTGGACTATCTCTGATTCTGGCTGTGTCCGTGTTTCTTTTGTAATAAACTCCGCCTGCATGAGGACGTGCTCGACCTAATTCAAGTTGAGAACCCAACGCGGTAGGGTGGGGAACAATGTAATTGATGTGACCGCGCTTCCCCCGCGCATGGTCCAAGATGTTGCGGCAGAATGCGCTTCGTACGGTTTTTACTTTGGGCGGATGGTGCGATGGGGTGGTGTAAGCGTGGTTCTTGGTCGGCCGCCAGTCGAATGGGGGAGAGAGTGTTTCTCCATAGGGAGCAGTGACAAACCCCTCCCCGAAGTCGGATGAACGAACTCGCTAAACCGCCGACGCCCAGACGGCTAGTGGGACTAGACGGAACACTTTGCACTCAATTTAAGGTGAGCCCCAGGTGGGAAGAATGGGAGGAGAATGAGGAGAAGAGGGGACGAGGATCATGAGGAGGTGTAAGGATGAGGAGGAGGAGGAGGGTGAGTAGGAGGACGAGCTGGGTGAGGCAGGCAGGAGGTCACGGCGACCACGATGATGACAGAAGCCAGCCATACATTATTTCGCGGTTCGTTAGCTGTCTGAGCCTCTTGCAGACCTCTCAGGGCCATCGTGGGGCTCTCTTTGCCCACGCTCTTCGGCGTGTGGCTTGACTGACCGACGTGGGGCCCTGTTGGAGGCCTTCTTGGGGCTATCCTGTAGGCCATCGATCCAAGGGGGAGGGGCGGTCCTCCCGTAGCCATTTTGGCTCGAGCAGTTTTTGTCTCAAGCAGCAGCCCACGGGCCGGGCCACTGGCGGCGGGGCTGGTCGGCGAGATGCCCGCGTTCGTTTTGAACCAAGCGTCTGTGAAGCAGTGGCTGTGCATGAGGGACTGCATCGAGCACACGAGCAAAGCGCTTTCGCTGGTGCGGGCCGGGGAGCTGCTGAATCCTGTTCGCAGTGGGGTCGTTCTCCCCCTCGACGGCAAGGACGGTGTTCACGTTCTGGGCTTCATGCCGTGCTATCTGGCCGATGCTGTCGTCGGCGAAGGAAGCTGGTGGCAGCCGGGCCCCCCAGGCCCCAACACCAAGAAGGGAATTGGTGGGTACATCTGTACCAAGGTCATCACGGTATTTCCATCAAACGTTGGTTTTGGCCATGACGGTCATCAGGGCGTCGTGCTGCTCTATTCCGCCTCGACTGGCAGCTTGCTTAGCATCGCGGATGCTCACGAGATCACTGGTGTCCGCACAGCTGCTGCGTCAGCTGTGGCTACGCGGCTGCTTGCCAAAAAAGGGCCGTGTGTGTTGTGTATACTTGGGAGCGGCTTCCAAGCTGGTAAGCACCTCGAAGCAATGCAATGCGTGCGTGAAATTACTGAAGTTCGCGTGTGGTCCCGAACGAAAGAGCGAGCTGAAGCTTTTGCGACTTCGACTGGCACATGTGTTTCCGTGTTCAACAATGCCGAGGAAGCCGTCCGTGGGGCCGATATAGTCTGCACACTTACCACTGCGACATCACCGATACTGCAGTACAGCTGGCTCAAGGCAGGTGCCCATGTCAATGCAGTAGGGTCCTGTCACCCTTGTCAGCAAGAACTGGATGAGGAATGCATAGTCAAGGGTCGCGTCTTCTGCGATACCATAGAAGGCTGCCTGCAAGGCCTTACACGCACTGGAGACCTCGTTAAACCGATCGATGCAGGCATTTTCAGCGCTGATAGTATCACGGAGCTCGCATCTGCCCTTGAAATGGGCAAAGGGCGAGAAGATGTGGACGAGGTGACCGTCTTCAAATCAGTGGGTTTTGCAATCGAAGATCTTTGCAGTGCCGTAGCGCTCTACGAGAGTGTGCGCAAAGAGCCCGACGGGACATTTCCGACGATGTAGAATGATCCATTCATCGTGGCCCATGACCACAACTGCAACTTAGTTGCAAACTCTTGGTTCCCCTCCTCTCAGGCTGCACGCACGCTTGAGTGTACCGCGCTACATCTTTTATCGCACCGCCTTCAGCGTCAGCGAGACGTTCCGTTCCGTTCTCTCTTCGTTCTCCCAAGATTGGTTAGATCACGTGCTCTTGGGAAAAGCTGAGGTTCTTGATTATTCACGCTTCGCGTATCCTCACCAGCGGTGGCGCCCGGGCTTCAGCTGGCGCCTTCGCGGTTGCCTCTTCGGCCGGCACCTGTCCGGCGCCGTTAATTATCTGCTTTCCCGTGCGCTGTGCCCCAGCCTCGTTCACACCGCCCTCTGGACTTTTCCTTGCGGGCCGCGAATCAAAAAGTATCCTCACCAGCCCATTCCTAATCAGCAACTTTGGCGAAGCATACTGGCTGTCGTTGTTTCCGGGCGTACCTTCTCCTGCCCTCGCATATACCCTCCTGTTCCTCCTACATCCCACCTGATCCCTTGTAGCTCTTCCTTGTGGGAGGATTGGGTGGGGGACGAGGCGGAGGAGGAGGACGATGAGAAGGTGGTGGGAGGCGAGAGGGAGGTAGCGGCGACGACGACGACGGCCATGACCACAACGACGACGACGACGACGGCGATGACCACAACGACGACGACGTCGACGACGACGACGACCGCGACGACGACGACGAAGACGACGACGACAACGACTACGACGACCCTGCCTGTTCTCTTTTAGTTCTTACTTGTGGGAGGAGTAGGAGGAGGACGGGGCGGAGGAGGAGGAGGAAGAAGAGCAGGCGGTGGGAGACGAGAGGGAGATAGCGGCGACGACGGCGACGACTGCAATGACCACAACAACGACGACGACGGCAGCGACGGCCACGACGACAACGGCGACTATGACGACGACGCCGCCGCCGCCGCCGACGACGACGACGACGACTGCCGCGACGCCGACGACGAACATGACGACGACTACGACGACGACGATGAGTCAACCATCAATGCCTTTTCTGGGTCTTTCTTTCTGAAAGTCTTTTGGGGACACCTTGGGGCTACCCAAGGGCCTTCTTGTTGATATTTTGGGGGTCTCTGGGCCCTTTCTGGGGTCCCCGTGGTGCCTGTTGGGGCACCCTTGGAGCTCTTTTGGGGGGTCTTGGGCCCTCTTGGGGCTCTTGGGGGGGTCTGGGAAGTCTTTTGGGGCCACCTTGGAGGCCACGGCTCAAAACTGAGCGCGGCGTCAATTACGGTCCTCCCTTCGGAACCCGAAACATGGCCTCTTGGGGCCTTCTTGGGCCGCTCTTAGGGCGCTGTTGGGCGCTCCTGGGCCGGTCTTGGGCCTCTCTGGGGCCTGTCTTGGGGCTCTCTTGGGCCATGATGGGGCCATCTTGAAACCTCAAGAGCCCATTGCAAGCGACAAGGCGAGAAGGGAAAACACATTGATCTTCCATAGGTATTTGAAGGATTTTGGCCTCTCGGGGGCTTCCTTGGGAGGCTCTGTGGCCACTTGGGGCCGACTTCGGGCGATCTTGGGGTGGTCTTGGCGTGCAGGCTTGTTAGGAGTTATCTTGCGTCATCGAGAGCTATCTAGTGCGATCTTGGAGATTATCTTGAGCTCTCTTGGGCTGTCTTGGCGCCATTTTAGGCCACTGCAGGCGCTCCAACGACCCGCGCCCCCCCCCCCCCTCTCCAGGCCCATGGGTAGGGGGTAGGGGGAGGGGTCAAGGTACCCACCCGCCTGCAAGCCGTCTAGCTCACTCCCACCCGCCCTCCCAACGCAGAAGTAACACCCGAGCCTGAGCATGTTCAGCGGTCGTCTTTGGATGGACAGCTATTGGGAACCACAGCCAACCCCAGGTGCGCGACGCTTGGTCGAGGTACGCCACGCGTGCCAGGGGCGCCACGCTCGCCAGGCACCCCTGGGGCCCGAGCGTGCCAGGCACGCGTGTTACGCCAGATGCGCCACGTGCTTCGAGTGCGCCAGGTGTGCCGCACACTCCAGCCGCGCCAGGTGCGCCATGTTCGGGGCACGTGCAGTGTGCGTCAGGGAAACATGTCGGCCCCCGCCATCCTCATCGAAAACCATTGCCCATCATTGTGTCTGGTGGGCCTGCGCACAGCAGGCCACGCGCCACCACCCCCGCGGTCCCTGTCAAAAACCAATTGAGAGTGATCGCGGGATGGCCGCGCATGATCCAAATTTCGTCGCGAGGTGCATGTTGTATTGTTTTTTGTTAGGGATGGTAGCCCTGCGCACGGCAGGGAATATGCTGGCACCCCCGCCGTCCCTGTCAAACACAATACAAGGTGTTCGCGGGCCTTACGAACATGACTCAAGACTTTGCCCCAAGGTGTACTTTGCATTGTTTTTTGACAGGGGTGGTGGGGGGGGCTGCATCGGGTTGGCCGCGTATGCTCCACATGTGGAGGCAGAGTGCGACTTGTACTGTTTTTTGACAGGGATGGTGGGGGGCGGGTCGCCATGGTGTCCTGATGGTTCCTGGTTGGACGCCGGCCGCTTGGTGCAGGGGGTGAATCTTGATAAGGAGCAGTGACGCACCCCTCCCCGAAGGGGAAGAAGGGGGTTGGACAGAGGGGGCTCTCTGAACCTCTGACGCCCAGACGGCTGGTGGGGTAACATCCCCCGTGGAAGCCCCGACACTCGCCCGTTGGGGCTCTCGCGGGGATTTTTGTTTGTTCTCGGGGCCGTCTTGGAGCCCTGTCGGGCCCCCACTGGGGCTCCTTTGGGCAATCGGGGAAGGGAAACGACGGGAAGCGAAACAACGAGAATGCACCACCCACTCGTTGGCGCTCGTTACCGTTTGGCCTTTCGGGGGCGTCTTTAGGGGGTGTCCTCTGATCCGTCTTGGGGTGGTCTCGGGGCTCCTTGGAGTCATGTTGGACGCTGTCTTACGCCATCCTGGGCTATCTTGTGCCATCTTGGGGGGTATCTTGGGCTACTTGCTCTATATTGGGAACACGGGGGCTGGAATAACTGCTAGATTCGCCTCGGATTTCTGATCAGAAAGCACCCCAGGAGCGGTCCGGGGGGGGTAGCGTTCTCGGTACCTCTTGGTTTCTCCAGATGCGGTTCAGACCCACCCATACTCAGCCCCACCCACGCTCAGGCTCATTCGTGCTCGAACGTCTCGGTCGAATCGCCAGTTTTGGAACGTAGATGCATCTATTAGGGGGCCACACGCGAACCCTATTCCTACCCCCCACGATTTCTGAGGGGAAGGGTGGGGTTCACTTCGCTCGGGAGCTCCCAGACGAAGTGAACCCCACCCTCCCCCTCAGAAATCGTGGGGGGTAGGGGTAGGGTTAGCGTGTGGCCCCCTAGTTTTGAAAAGTTGGCGCGTCTCTGCTCACAACCCCGTGGTCACCGCCATGTGGCAGTCGCAGCATTCGGGCCTCCCACGGGGGAGCTGCCGTGGTCACGACACGGGCCCGTTGTGGCCCAGTTCGTATCGTGGGGGCCTCTCTTTCGAGACGCTTCTTTTCCAGCCATCCTGGTGCGTTGGGTCCTCGTTTTGAAGAGACAGCACCCCGCGTCACTCACTCCTCGCCCCCCCCCTCCAGCGCCCGCATGCGTCACCCACACCCATTTCGGCACACCCCTCACACGTTTCGTGGCCCCATAGGGAGCTCCACCGAAGGCCCCAGTGCCACCGCCCGCATGCGTCACCCACACCAATTTCGGTGCACCCCTCACACGTTTCGTGGCCCCATAGGGAGTTCCACCGAAGGCCCCTGTGCCACCGCCCGCATGCGTCACCCACGCGCATGTCGGCACACCCCTCACACGTTTCGTGGCCCCACAGGGAGCTCCACCGAAGGCCCCAGTGCCACCGCCCGCATGCGTCACGCACGACCATTCCGGCACACCCCTCACACGTTTCGTGGCCCCATAGGGAGTTCCACCGAAGGCCCCGGTGCCACCGCCCGCATGCGTCACCCACGCCCATTTCGGCACACCCCTGACGTTTCGTGGCCCCACAGGGAGCTCCACCGAAGGCCCCAGTGCCACTGCCCGCATGCGTCACCCACGACCATTCTGGCACACCCCTCACACGTGTCGTGGCCCCATAGGGAGAACCACCGAAGGCGCCAGTGGCTGCGTTCGCATGTGCTCACCGCACCCATTTCAGCACACCCCTCACACGTTTCGTGGCCCCATAGGGAGCTCCACCGACGGCCCCAGTGGCTGCGTTCGCATGTGCCCACCGCACTCTCACGCGTTTCGTGGCCCCATAGGGAACTCCACCGACGGCCCCTGTGGCTGCTTTCGCGTGCGCCCACCGGACAAATTTTGGCACACCTCTCACACGTTTCGTGGCCCTATAGGGAGCTCCTCCGAATGCGGTGCATACAGCGACGGTATTCACAACTGCATATGGTTGGGTCCTTCGCCAGGCTAATTTTCGGGGGGTGGGGGGTGGGAAGGCGACGTGTCTGTTCTCGCAGCGCCTTGATAACCGCGGTGGCACTGGGGACCGAGTGCACAGAGCATGGCGCGCACACAATCACACACGCGGCGCCAAGCATTTGACACCACGCGCATAACACACGACACCGCGCACACGCACGGAGCGCACACGTCTGACGTGTGATCCCACCCGCAGTGCTGATTTCTTGAGACGATCATGTTCTTTAGCTCGTCGATCGCGTTTTCGGGGGAATTGATTCGTTAGAAGAGCGTGTGAGCAATGGGGCCGCCACATACTGCTAAGCACCTTCAGCACGGACTGGCAGATGGCGGTTTCGGATACTCTCGTAGAAGCGTTGCTTGCCATTTTGGAGGCTTCTTCTAGCCCAGCCCGTGTTTTATATGTGCGGTGAGGTCAATGGAAAAGGATTGGGGCCCCCACATTGTATTGCAGTGGCCTCTGGCCAGTGCTGCCGATCCGGGGCGTTCCCGACGGCGACAAAGACGATGACGACGACGATCGACGAATGCCGACGGAATATCGACGACGACCATGGACGAGGACCGACGACAACGATGACAACGACGACGAGGACGATTAACGACGACGATGGACGATGCACGGCTAGCGATGTCCGACAGCCGACGACCAAATGCGGGGTCTCTCACCGAGCAGACGATTGTGGGAGAGATGATTTGTTGTTTCCCGGCGTGCTTCCAGGCAGCGGCGTCATCTACTACACCATCGACGCTGGCAAGACCTGGGGATTTGACACCTCTGGCAGTGAGCTGCCCTGCAACTTGTGCCCTTCCACCATCATGTGTAGCGTGGGGTTGCGCAGAGGGAGCTATCAGAATGGGCAGCCGGGCGAAGCGTGTGAATGTGGGTTGCCAGGGAGCGAGCGGAGGTTGTTGAAAGCTCGTGGGCATGCCGGAGAGCTAGCGTGAGATTCGATTCCATGCCAGGGCATGCGTGATTGTGTGTGTGTATGTGTGGGTGTTGTTGTTCCTGCTGTAATAAACAAAGTGGGTGAGACTGCTGTCAGATCCGAGTCGGTGAGACAGGACCCCAGCTGCCTGCTCCCGAGTGCCCTCCGAGCTGGCTTGGTCGGGGCTCAAGAGACGGGGGTCAATGCAAACAGGGGTCAGCCAGGGCACCGGATCCTGCAAGATCCTGCGAAGACCCCTCTGGCTGACCCAGGTTGGCGAGCCGCTCGTGGCCGCGAGGCGGCTGCGCATCTTGGCTGACCCAGGGTTTGCGAAGCCCTGCGTTGCCTTTTTTTTGTCACTGCAGATTTTTGGTTTCCGGCTGACCCGGGTCTGATTGGCCCGGTTTAGCAGACCCCCGACTTGGGCCAGTTCCCCCGGCGGCTGTAAACAAACTGGGTGAGACTGCTGCCAAAGCCAACGCAGCGCCATGACAGTTGGCAGCTTCCCCTCGCTTTGCGACGCTTCATTCATTCATTCGTCCTGTACTTCCCTTTCGTTCACCTCTCACTTCAATGCAGAGCTTGCTCGGACTCGGCGACCGAGTCGGTGAGACAGGACGCCAGCTGCCTGCTGTCCTCCTCCCTCCGAGCTGGCCTGGGCCAGTCCCCTGGGCGGCCTCTCGGGTCAGGGCGGGCGGCGGGCACCGCGCACGCCCCTGCACCGAGAGCCTGGCCGGGCCGGCCCTGGGCCCGGTGGGCCTCGCCCCCCTCCCTCGCGCGCGGGTGCCTTTGATCCCCCCTCCCCCCCAGGGTGCGCGCGCGGCCCGACGGGGGCGAGCGCGCGCCGCGACGCCGCGCAGGCGACCACGATTGTCTGCAGGACGGGAGGCCCGCTGCAGTCTTGTTTCTCCCACCCACCCACACCTGGCGCGCTGTGCTGCGCGTGTGGGGTGCGACGGTGAGTTGCGTCCAGGGGTGTCATGCGATGGGTCCCCCCTCCCTGCGGTCGGTCGTGGCCCTGTGGGCGTGTCGTCGTCGTCGGCGTCGTCGTCGTCGCCGTCGTCGTCGTCGTCGTCGTCGTCGTCGTCGTCGTTGCCGTCGTCGCCGTCGTCGCCGTCGTCGCCGTCGTCGTCGTCGTCGTCGTCGCCCCCCCTCTATCCCATCAGGTCGGGGGGGGGCCTGTGGATCCATCCCATCTGGGGGCGGGCCCCTGTGAACCCTCGACCTGGGATCATGCGTGCCTTTCCGCCCAGGCCGGGAGGCCGTGTGCGACGATCCTGGGCCCATATAGTCGGTGTTCTTCTACCTGGATCGCCGCCGAGGTTGCTTAGGGAGGGGGGGGGCTGTAAGCGGATGCAGCGAGCGGGTTCTATCAGGACTAGCCTGGTTTTTCAATGGATTCTGCATGCCCTAACCGCATCGAGCCGTTCAGACCCCCCCTTCATCCGGTGAAAGTATAACGCAGCCGGCGCCCTGGAAGCGTCACCTCGGCACCGGAGGAGCCCGCAGAGAACGCTCGGGGCCAAGCTAAGCCTTGCTGAACCCTGCTAGCTCTTGCTAAGCCTTGCCGAGCCAAGCTAAGCCTTGCTGAGGAGATTCGCAGCGTATCCAAAGGCGCCCCCGAGGATTTCTTCTTGCGCGTTGCGCGGCGCGCGACGCGCCGCGTTTTTTTTTTTTTTTTTTTTTTTTTTTTTGTAATGCCATTGCTTGTTCCTCTACAGTCGGTTCGAAGCACATGCCTCAAGCAGGGAGAAACGACGAAGACTGTACACCCCCCTTCAACAAGCAAGCGCGTGCAAGGGTGGAGGAGGGGGTGCGGAACCACAGGCAGGCCCACGTTGCCCAGGCCAGCGTCCTTGCCAGACGCAGCGCTCGCAGGCGCCTTTGTCAAGAGCCCATTCGGTGGCGGTGGTCGGGCGAGGACAGTCTCGGGGCTCTCGCCGTTGGCTTCCATCCGATGTCTCCCAGGCGCGCGCGGTAGGTCGCACTCGTCCGAGGTTCAGGTCTCGATCTGTGTTCTGTTCTATGTGTTTCGACTTCGGCACGGCACGGCTCCGCCGCCTCCGTCGCCTCCTCAGATCTTTAGCAGTCGAGTAACAGAAGACGTTATGAGCCCAGCCTTTGGGAGGCCCGCGCGGGTTTCCTGGGTCGGAGCTTAACAGTTCCGGCTCGGACCTGACATGTCCGCGCAGTCCTCCAACAAGTTATACTAGGGTAGCTTGTTTGTTTTTCTCCTCGTCCTCTTGCTACGTCGACTGTTTCGCAAGCTCTGTTTTTGAGATGGTGTTGTGGTCCTCGCCCCCTCCGTCGCCGCGGCCGGACGTGGCCTGAGCAGCTTCTCGGGGCGATGCCATGGAAGGGTCGTTTGTGTGTGTGTGTGCGCGTGTGTGTGTGCGTGTGTGTGTGTGTGTGCGTGTGTGTATGTCGGGGGCGGAAATGAGGGGGGTGATGACTAGGGGGGGGTGGATATCATGGCGGGGGCCATGATATTTCCGCAGATTTCATGGCGCCTCTTCTTATTTCATTACGTCCCTGGCCCTCCCGCTGGGCCGCGCACATGCCGCCGGTCATGATTTGCACCCCCCCCTCTTGGACGCCCCCCTCTTGGCCGCTCCCGAGTATGAGTGAATGAGTGTTTGTGTGTGTTTGTTTGGTCTGGTCTTGTAAGAAAGTGGACATATTCGGCTGTTTGTTCAGGGCCTGTGCCAGCAAGCGCAGAGCTCAAGCAGGTTCCCTGCAGCAGACCAGCCCGCTCGCTCGGCACTGGATTCAGGGTAGCAAGAGGATGGGGAGGATGAGGAGGAACTCGCAGGTACAACGTAAAGTTCTTCGAGAAAGGCAAGGTTGGCTACATGATCGGCTCTCAGGGAATTCTTCTGCGGAAGGTGCCCCGCTCCTCGCCCAATCGCTGTCCTTGCCTTCTTCTCGGCATGTTTGCTCGAGGGGTGAGCCTGAGAGGCGAGGGGCGAGGGTCGATGGGGGCTATTGGCGAGGCGAGGGGGGCGAGGGAGGCGATGCCTCATGGTCGAGAGCGATGGTGACTGCTAGATGTGGAGGTGGGCGGGGAATGGGAACGCCTCCCAGCGCCGAGCGCGCGCGAATGTGTGTGTGTGTGTGTGTGTTTGTGTGTGTGTGTGTGTGTGTGTGTGTGTGTGTATGCTCCGCCTCGCCGCGCGCGAGGTCGCGACCGCCAATGTGTGTGTGTGTGTGTGTGTGTGTGTGTCTGCGTCAGCTCTAGCGTCGCTCCCGGTCCCCCGCACTCGGCCGCTTCCCAGAGTCCGTGTGTCCCGGTCAATTGCAGAGCCTGTGCACGCCTCTCCCTTGCCTCCCCGGGCTTGCGGGCACAGCTGGGGGCTCTTGTGCTTTCCCGATTGTCGGTATCGGCTTTGGTGGCCAAGAGTTCGCAACACACCGAAATTTCTTGCTTCGCCTCTCGAATTCAGTGCGCATCCAGAGGCTGTGCTAAGACTGGCTGGATGAATGTCCACGGCCCGTTGACGCAAACACGGGTGTGTCTGTGTGTGTGTGCGTGCGTGCGTGCGTGTGTGTATGTGTGTGTGTGCTTGTGTGCATGTGCGTACGAGTGCGTATTTGTTTGTTTGTTTGTTTGTGTGTGTATGTGTGTGTGTGTGTGTGTGTCTGTGCGTGCGCGTGTTTGTGCGTGTGTGTGTGCGTGTGTGTGTGTATGTGTGTGTGAGAGTGCGCGTGTGTGTGTGTGTGTGTGGGTGTGAGTGTGAGTGAGTGTGTGTGTGTGTGTGTGTGAGTGTGCGCGTGTGTGTGTGTGCGTGTGTGTGAGAGAGTGTGTGTGTGTGTGTGTGTGTGCGTGTTGGTACGTCTTCTCGTGCCCGCGTCCCTTTTCGATCTCTTGCCATCTGTTGACCGGGCTCTTCAGCAGCGCGTGCGCTCGTCTTCTCGCCCCCGCTTCGCGTCCTACTCCAGGCCGCATGCTTACGTTCTCCGCTCTACCTGCGCCCTCGTCTCCTGCACGGCTCAGCTCCGCCCACGGACTTGACTGGAGCGTACTCTGCCCACGTTCTTGCGCAACGTGGCCATCGCATCCCAGTTCTTGTCTACACGCGGTTCCGGGGCGCTTCGGCAGGGGTGCGTGTGTGTGTGTGTGCTTGTTGTTTGGCACGAATGTGCCGGACTACAGCACACAGCTCCTCCTCCCTCCGCCAGGGGTGCCGACGCCGTGACCCCGCGTCCGCCAACCTTTGAAACCACTCCCGCGCAAATATGTGTTCGGCACGGTCGAGTTCGAGGTCTTCTTCCATGGGAGGGTGAAGAGGAGGAGGAGGAGGAGGTGGAGGTGGAGGAGGAGGAGGAGGAGGAGGAAGAGGGGGAGGAGGAGGGATATCTACTGGGAGGTGGGGAAGGAGCATGACGGGGAGGATCCAGGGGGGCTGGGGGGGTTGGAGTAGGAGGGGGGAGAGTGAGGACGACGGGTAGCGGGGCGTGCACGCGGCCCGAAGACCTCTCAGGAACGCCTCGACGAGCAGCGGAGCCCTGCAGGGGCCCGCCCGAGCACAAGAATCCTTCTGTTCACGAGATCGGCACCAGACTGGTCGCCTCCGTCCTTAGTGGGCCCTGGAAACGACAGGGCCGTTTTTTTTTACCGGTTCCGTTTTGCCGTTTTTTTGCCGGTTCCGACGCCGTTTTTTTACCGGTTCCGTCGCCGTTCTTTTACGGGTTCCCGCTCCGGTTCCAATCCTGGAGCCGTTTTTGTTGCCGTTTCCGGTCGCCGTTTTTTTGCCGTTTCCATTTTCAAGGGACCTTCTTTCGGAAACGGTGAAAAAACGGCCCTGCCGTTTCTGGGGCCCACTAAGCCTCTTTCTACCCATTCCTCGCTGCTATCGCTTCTAGCTTCAGGAGGGGGAGGTCCGCCGAGACCCCCCGTTCCCGTTCGTGTTTGGCTAACTTCTCGCCTTGGTTTTCAGCATTCTGGATCCAGTCCTGTGACTTTCAGCCGTGCAGATTTTGCCATTGTGATGCCCATTTGCGGTAATTCGAAGCGGTTCCGCCTGTGGATGATAATGTTTTTTTGTTTGACTCTCTCTCTCTCTCTCATTGATCTTTGCACCGAGGCGTTTGAGGCGTGATGACCAGTAGATGGCCGGCCTCTTGCATTGCACCTGCCTCAGCCGTGCGGTTGAGGAATTGTAGCAGTTTGGCATAGCAGACGCCGACGACGCGCAAGCTAAGAGGCGGGGAGTCGAGAAGGTGCAGACGAGGGTGAATAGCACTCGAGTGCCCAATGCTGCCGTTTCCGAGCAGAGTCAGACACATCAAGTGTATCGGGGGGCAGAGATTCCAATAGGTGTGTCAACTCAGGGCGCTCCATGTGGTTGTCCATCACCACCCACCAAACCACCTCAACCCAACCCGAAGGCCCCAATTTGCCCTCTGTTCCCAGTGGGGGGCGCGTCGGGGAGCATTGAACAACACAGATGGAACCCGCAACCCCCCAACCCGAAACGTGGGTTTTCGGGCTAGGTTGGGGTGGTCTGGTAGGTAGTCAGTCAAATAGGAATCAGCGCGCCAAACCCCCCTCCCATGCCGCCCCGCCTGACAGCACATTCCGATCCCCCCCAGAGAGTTTCTGTCCATGGCGCTTTTTCTTCCTCTAAGTAAGAGGCGCTGGAGCGACCCAGAGCGTTCCAGAACGCTCCGGAACGATTTTGCCTCTCTGATCCTGTCCCTGTCCTGGCTTCGTCTTATGTCGAGCAGTGGCGAAGCGTCCTGGCCTTCCTATATGGGCCCACCAAACAACCTTCTAAGAGCCTTTTGTGGTCTGCGCGAACTGTTCGTAGATCATTTCTGGCCGAGGCCGTCTTGTCCTAACACATCGGGGCTCTGTTCTAAGGGCATGGTGCTTGTTCTTAGAGCATCGTGGGGCTCTGAGAACATGTCGTGGCGGGCCTCTAGGAATGCCAGGACGGTCGGTAACTGCTCAACGATGTGCAGGGCCCCGCAGCAGGGCCATCCCGGAGGATGGGGCTCTGAGAACATGTCGTGGTGGGCCTCTGGGAATGCCAGGACGGTCGGCAGTGATGTGCAGGGCCCCGCAGCAGGGCCATCCCGGAGGCCACTGGCGCCCCAAGAGCGGTGCCGCTCGGCCGGCACCGTGCCCCTCGCGGGGAGGCCAGGGCAGCGCCTCGCGGGGCCCTCTCGGGGCCCCCTCGGGGTGCCTTTGGATGCTTTCGGGGTGCCCTCTTTTCGGACGGGGCTAGGATCAGGAGGGGAAAGAACACACAGACACAATTAATCGTCGACCCCCAGGAAAATATGGGAAAATATGCGAAGTGGGGGGGGAAAGACAGAAACCCAGAAAATATAGGAAAATATGGGGATTCCTTTTTTTGTGTGTATTTATTTGTGTGTCCTGGGGCCCCTGCATAGGACGGGGACGAATCCGTTCCAAGAGCGGTCCGGAACTCCCAGAGCGTTCCGGAACGCTCTGAGGCTGCCGCGACGCCCGAGACGTTCTGCCGAGCCGCCAGGTCTCAGGGATTCTCGACTTGCCCTCGCCCGAATTGATCCTCGTCTTAGCTTCGTCTTGTCTGTGGTCGTGGGCGGCAAGCACATCCGCATCCGCGGCCTCCGGCCAGATCCCTGGGCAGTAGCCCCGCGAAAGCGGTTCCTTGGGGGTTTTCTTGTGCTTGGCTGTGCCAGACGAAGGGATATTCCAAGACAAGCCATTTCAGACCTCCCCCGTGGGAAAACCCTCCAAACCATCGTCCCCAGACCCCCCCAGGCCCTCCAAGATAGCTTGGAAAAGACCCCCCCCGAAATGAGACCCCCCTCCCTTTATTACGAAATCTGGAGTAGGATTTAGGAGGGGGGGGGCACGAAATCTGCTGCACGCAGCTGGCTTCCGCCCCGCCGCCAGGAGCCCTGCCTCGATGCAGGGTCTCCCGGCGGCAGGAGGCGCCGGGAAGACCGGCTACGTGAGCGGATTCTCCACCCTACCCTTTGCTATCCTGCCCGTCCGCCCACCCCGACTCTGGTTGTGGGCGAGAAGCATTTCCGTATCCGCGGGCTCGGGCCAGATCCCTAGGCCGCGACCCCGCGAATAATTACGGGCCGTTTTTTCGCGCCTGCCCCGCGCGGAACGAGCCCAGACCACGAGGGCGCGAATACGGATATGGCCGGATGTGTCTGCCGCTCATGATTTGGGTCTTTCTGGGTCCCTTTTGGTTTTCTTAGGCCACCTTGAGACCGCTAAGCCGAAAAGGCAAGAGGGCAGGCAACGTCGAAGTGCAACGGCAGCCAGTCGGAGGCTCAAGGGCACCATGGAGCCATAATGGGGCCGTCCTGAGGTCATTGAAGCCCTGCAAGTGTAAATGAACCATTTGGGAGCTAGTTGAGCCGAACAGGTGCGTTGGGGAGCTCGTGCTCCACCAACAGGGCACCCCCTTCAAACTGGTGTTCGGGTTCCCGGGGAAGGAGAATGAGGGAAGGGGGGAGTCGAACATGTCACACGCTTGATCGCCTCCGCAAATTGGCGATCGTTATATATATATATATATATATAGATATTTATTTGATCTGCCCTTCGTTACTGGACGAAAGGGAGGACGGGGAGAAGGAGGGATGAGGGTCAGGAGGAGCTTTCTCCCGCTTGTGGCACGCTCTGCCTCCGCTTCCGGAGCAGCTTGCGCCGTAGCCCCGTCAAGGGTCCCATTGCAGCGCATATGGGAGACCTTCATTGCACCCACCACGCAGCTCTCTCCCATTCCTCCTCTTCCACCTCCGCCTCCTCTACCCACTTTCTCAATTCCCATCTTGTCTCCCTCATCATACTCATTTTCCACGTCATTATCCTCCCCCTTCTCCTCTTAGCGTTTGCCCAAGCAGTTGCAGGGTTGCAGCTCCCAGGTCAGCCCGCTTACGGTCCTCGGTGGCATGCTAGTCGTCGCCCGCGTGAACTGGATGGACTGGGTTGAACGAAACAACATCACTTTCGATGCAGGCGCAGATCCTTCGAAACTAAGAGTGGATGAGGTACTCTCCAACCCGTCGGATGGGCAGCTACCTCGTTCTGGTCAGCAATGTCCTCGTTGTTTTGCGAGGCATTCGAGAGCTCGCGCAACGACACGTGACCTTGGACAGGGGGCACCGGAGGCACCGACATTCCATCGGAGATATCCGTCTGCTCCTCGGCTGCCGGGAATAATGATGATCGTGATGTCCACGCTGGCCAAGCTCCTTGGGGTGGTGTCCCTTGCATGTCGGTGGCGACCGACTCGATGATGAAAGAGACATGTCCTGATCGTCGTGGCCCTGACCTGCTGGAATCTCGGGGGCACGGATCTTTGGGCTGCCTCCCCTCGTGCCACTGCTGGTGCTCCCACGAAGACGCCGCGACTGCACGCACAGGCTCTCCCGCACGTCCCCAGTCCCTGCAAGAGAGGCGGTGCCTTCCTCCTGGTCCTGGCCGCCTTCTTCGTAGCAGCAGCGGGAGCGGCGAACAAGGGTCCTGGTGGCCAGCGACCTCATGCTGATGGCCTGCTGGGCTATCGTCTCCACCGAGTTGGTGGCGCTCCGGCATGGCGCCGCAGAGTGCGCTGCCTTCACTTGAGTCGTGCCGCCGTTGCAACGGCAGGGCCGCGACCAGAAGGGCGCGCTTGAAGCAGCTGCACCCGGATGTGGCGGACGAGCGCGCGCGGGCGGCACTGCTCGTGGGCGCTTGCGTGGCTGGCGCCGCCGCCGCAGGAGCCGCGGCGGGGTGCACCGCCAGGACGCCTGCTGCCTGGCAGGCCCGCGCCGTGGCCGTGGGAGCCTTGGCAGCCGTCGGCCCAGGCGGCTTCGGGGGGCTGCTGAACTCAGCCGTCGCCGGAATTGCGCACCGCAGCAGCTCGCCCAGCGGCCCTGGCCGCGTGGGCCGGCAGTTGGATCGCCCTGCACTTCGACTCGACGCTCGGCTGCCCCAGCGAGGGGCCCGCCTTCCCGTGCCTGGGACGTCACCAGCTGCTGAAGTCGACGGATCATGCGTGTACTCGACGTGCTCGCTGTTTGGCCAGGCTGTGCTGGACACCGCAGGCCCCTCTCGCTGCCGCGGGTGCCAGCCGACGCGGGCCGGGCAGAGTAGCAGGCAGCCAGCCCGGCGCGTTCTCCGACGGGCTTAGCCTCATGCTTGCGGAGGCCCGCTCGACGACGTCCCCTAGGGGAGGATTCGACGCCCCTGTGTCGAGACGCAGGGCAGCCCTTTGCCGAGCTGTGTGTAGTACCGCACGAAGGGAGACGAACCTGAACTTTAGGTCGGCCCAGCCACGGAGTTCACAGGTGAGCTCAGCCTCGACCCGGAGACGCACATGGAACAGGATGCAGGCATCCCCCTGCGAGAGTTACGCCAGCGTGAGGCTCGGAGAGAAGAGGCCCAGAGGGAAGCTTCCACGCAGCGAGCCAGTGGCAATGTGGGTGAGGAGCCCGCTGGCGGCGCCGCGGCAGCATGGATGGCGGTGGCGCGCGGCCCCTGCCTCTGCCAGCAGGCGGCCATTCAGCGGCGGGCTGGCCCCGCCACTATTGCCTTGTCCTGGGATGCCCTGAGGGCGTCACCGCGCGCGCGGCCGGGTGGACATGCGCGCGTGCGTTTCGGAAGCACGTCCATGAAAATACATTCGGCTGGTTGAGGGGGGACATGCCCGAGGCGTGGATGCAAGCGCGGAGCGTCAATTTTGCGGAGTCTGTTCACGCCCCCTGTCCCGGACGCACGGGGGTGCATGCGACAGGCCCTCCGGCAGGGGATCGCCAGGGCTCCTGGTGGCAGACTGGTGCCAGCGATTGGCTGTCGCTGAAGGACGCGATGGCCGTCCGGATCTCGCTCGGGCTCATGTGCCGCGCGGCTCCCAGAAGTTGCGGGCGCAGCGCTTGGCCGCGCTTAGCCGCTGTCTTATCGCACTCCCGTGCTCGCAACGATGAGAAAGCAGGAGTCTAGCAGCTTGCCCTCCCTCAGATGGCCCGGCGTGCTTTGGGCAGGGGGGGGGGGGGCTAAGCACTGCGCGAAGTGCCACTTGGCAGTCTTGAAGAGAAGTTGCGATGCTTGGCCTGAGTGAGCGGGGGTCGTCGGGGGGGCCATGGGGCCCGCCCCGAGCAGGCGCCGCCTCGGAGGGGCCGCGCGAGACCTCGCGCGCCTTAGAAGAGCTTTGTGCGGCTTAGGCCAAGGGGAACTGGCGAGGCAAAGCGCGTGGCGTACTGGTGCGATGGCCGCCAGTTCTAGCGACTTCTGAGGTGCCCTGTGACATGCGAGACAGGCGCCCGCGTGCCAGGCCAGCAGAAGAGGAGCGCGCGCGGGCTCTGTGGCCGGTCAGCACGCGGGCAGCCCTGCAGCACCCGCTGGAGGACGTCGAGAAAGCAATCGGTCATTCCCGCCGGCATCTGCGGCGGGCCCGCCCGCCCCGCGACCGCGGCGCCTCAGAGACGCGCTTGCCCCAGGTATGGCGGACGAGGTGCTGCGACAGATGCCGTCGCTGAGGTCCTCGCGCGCGTCGAGGCGTTGATTGCAGCGCGGCCCTGGCCGCTTGGCGGCTCTCTCGCAGCGCTGCAGCAGCAGGGCGGCGGCCTCCGACCCGTTGCGCTGGTGTGGGTGGGTGCCGCGGCGGCGGCCTGGCGGGCTTTCTGGCTGCAGCGACCGCGGAGGAGGTGCGCTCTCATGCAGAATTCCTGCAAGGCGGAGTGGGCGCGAAATCCGGATGTGAAGCGGGCGCGCAGACCGT